CTGGACACCAAAAGTGAAAGGGAAGAGGGACAAAGAGGGCTATGGGACCCTTGACATAGAACCAACCCATGAGAATGACTCTTGCGCGTGAGGACTCGAAGTGGAAATGAGAGTGCAATTATACCAAGGAAATTGTGATGTTATGAGTGCATGCATATGAGGATCCCGAAAGGACTAAGGGGCCTACTTCAATGAGGAAAACAGCAAATTGTGAGACCGAAGGATGCTTAGAGGCGAGGCGGAGGATGGCTCCGCCACACCCCGATGACGTCATATAGTCACATTGCTTAGGGAAATGGTGTGTGGCCTAAGGATGACACTTAGCCTATGCACAAGAGAAGAGAAACACTCAAAGAATCATTGGACTGCCTGCGTATTGGAAGGAGCAATTGCATGAGAACACAACAAAGAAAAAAAAAAAATCAGCGTTGCGGAACGGCCAGCGAGACTACCACCCGGCGTGAGGGCTGAGTTACATCCCCAATGTCAAAGCTCTCTCGCGCGATGGCCCACCCTATCCATCTCAAAGCACTAGGTGGGTGTGACCTTGGGACGAATGGCCCGCGCCCTGAGCATGAGTGAGGGCGGACCGAGCCAACTGGGACCCACAGTGGGGTTGACTAAGGCTCGAAAGTCTACCAGGGTTTGGCCCTACAAAAAATGGTGGAGTTGACGGACATGGGGATAAACTGACCCTTGCGATTCCAAGGGGGGCGCCCGGCGCATTGACGTGTACACAACCCAAGATAAGGAAAATGAACTTGTGTTTGCTCTTTCCCTTGTGAGAAATCAGATTTGAGAGTGGCTGGGCGCATGGCATGGCCAAGCCTGGAGGTATAACATGCATGCTATGCACTTGATCAGCCTTTCCTTTGAGGTATGGCTCTAACCCCCTTCGTCCGGTGCTGGTGTTCGCTAGTCCGGGGAAGCCTTGGGCAAGTCGCAGGTCGACCCCTCCTCTTCGTATGAAAGAAGGGCTCCGGTTACCTGGCACGTGGTCGGTGTTTGGCTTAGGCCAGGTTCAAATGAAAATCCCATGGCGGAGTGATCCGACCGAATGGGTGTTTTTCCCTTCTTCTTTGAGCCCAGTGGGCTCATGCACTTTGCACTTTTTTTTTAAATGCTTGAAGGAACCAACATGAACACAACGGGTCATCAAGAAAGAACAATCCTACCCTATGAAAGAACAGACAAGTGAAGAGAAGGGAAATGAAGGGAGTTGCTGGACTCCAAGAAAAACTAGCTCACCCTTGAAGATTCTCACGAGAAGGAACCAACCACTATGTATGAAAGTAGGGGGAGTGACACTCATTGTCCTGAGAGAAAATCTGTGAGTTATGGGTAGAAAGCGTTGGGTGCACCAAGCGAATGGCACTTGTACTATATGTGTCCCACTTGGGACTTGTGTTTGCATGATGGAATTCGAGCGTCCTGCCTTTCGGAAGGAAAGGATTGGTCTGCACCGGTCAGTGCGGGTTGTGAAACGTCGTTCTCTTTTATAGGCTGCCGTGTGTTCGTATGTGGAGGTCAGGCCACTGAGCTGTCGGACGAGAGTTTGTCACGTCGGTTGATTAGTAGCATTCTCGTTCGAGCAGTGACGGACTTCGGCTCGATGATGTGTCGGACGGGGTGTGAAATCTCCTCAAGCGAGGCTTAACCTGTTGGCTGGCGGAGGGAGTATTACTGCATGCGGACAAAGACGGAGCCTCGGAGGCGATTAGTAGTTTCTCGTAGCATGGTTTTGGGAAAGGCTGATTCTTGTCAGACCGATGGAAGTGAATGCCCGGACGACTGACTTTGTCCCTGTATGTAGGCACTCGAGGTAACCCTCGGTGTCGGTATGGATGTGCAAAGCGGCAAGACGGGATGGGGTATTCTGGGTAAGGAGGAAAGGGCGAATGCCTTGTCGAGACCTGGGTACCACGCTCGCGACGATAAAACTCTACCGATAGTACAAGTGGAGAGACCATATTGAGGATGGCCAGTGAGGAGATGACCGGCCCATATGTGAGGTTGCCTAATTTTTTTTTGAGTTCCCCCTCTGTAAAAATTGATTGAGCCTGGACTGTTGGACGGGACATATTTCTAAGTCTATTCCCCCCCCCATCTAAGTCCACATGAGTGAAAGACGATCGGAAGGAAGGAGGATAGAGGTCAATTGAAATGGAACCAAGAGAAAGAATGTGGGCGAATGGATGGCCGGCCGAGGGAATTATAGGAAGGGGGTACTTAGGAAAGGGGAGGTAAAATAGGGAGACCTTAATGAGGGGTCTGAAATAATTCTCATCTAGGACAAGGGTTGACCTGACTTAAAGGATCGGTTGGTGCCTTTTTATGAAAACAGGGGTCGGATGCTGAAAACAAGATGGCGCGATGGTTGCCTTCCCCGATCTATACATGCCAGTAGATGTAAAGGATGGGGTATGGGTCGTCCTCCTGGAAAATGGAACGTGGACGGACCTTGAACCAACGTATCAAACGGTAATGCTGGAAGAAGAGGATGCTTTCCTTTGGATAGAAACAATATGGACTAATGTCAGCCTAACGAGGTTGTCGCCAAGTTTAATGGATCTGGAATTCCGAGGGACAGTGGAAGCCCGGGGGTGGGTCTACTTGTCGCAAGATGGGGGAAAAGCTATGATCGTAGAGTTGGCGCTCGGGAATACACCGAACGAGTTGTTTAGGAAGGCATGAGCAGAGGTTGTGTGGGTTGCATGTCAACGGAGGGAAATGGAAATGGAAAAGGTAGACGTACGGATGAAACTTGGGGATAGAGGAAGCATGAGGCGACCCATAAGAACCATGCGATGTATGCTGCCCTCCTTCCTAGTGGATGCGGTTTTCGGAACCCGGAGCAGGCTAGTACGGATATGCCAGTCCATGATGAATCTCGGGCTATACCAATGTGCTAGGCAAAATTTTTTTCGGTTATTAGTAGAGATGGGGCCGTTTGAGGGGAACTGGGCGGAGGAGCTGGCCGAGATACTAAACTGTCTTAGCATAGACAATATCTTTGTCCCTAGCGCTGTGCATTGGGGGATAGTCTACAGGAATGTGGCAATAGGGGAGACGTTTCTAGATGGGGTAAAGGAGTTGGTATACGACGAGGAGGACGACTTCCGTGATGAAGACGAAGATGAAGAGATAGAGGACTGAGACTTCTAAGAGGGGTGGGAAAACTTAACTTAGGGAGGACGGGTGGCCTAATATTGTGCAGGAAAGGGAAAGATGACTAAAGAAAAAATGATGATGGAATACACCTTCAAAGGCTGAGAACCACGACGACTCAGAGGAGGAATAGAAATGCCTATACCAACAGGGAACGGATGGAGAGGGACCACGTGCGACTGGATTGGGTTTGAGGTTGTCCGGTACTTGTCATATGTATGGATAGAGCGGATTTGAAACCCGATAAGGGAAGAGGAAGGTTGGGATGATATAGCAGAAGGCAAGGTAGAGTCAGTCGGAACGATTGATCTTTCCGAGGATGAATGACACTTGTTTTGCACTATGTTAGCAATGGGACAAGACCCGATGTGGCTTCTAGGGGATGCAGAGGCCCGAACCCGAAAAGAAGGCAAGTGGTTCGCCAACGAGGGGTGGGACGAAGTCAGTAGCAGAGTTGTGATGGGAGGATGGAAGGAACTTAAGCCTCCATGTCTACGGATAACGGCTTGGGTACTAGAGTTCATAGCCGAGTGGTTTGGAGGGTTTGAACACATTTTAGAAGTAGCCGACTCCATGAGAAAGGTGCATATAGAGTGTGCCTGGCTGACTGAGGAGTTCTATAGGCTCTCGTTGAAATATGGGCCCTTCGACGGATAAAGTCGAGGAAGTCATCATCGTCCTAAGAATAGGCAGGTATAACCGCCCAGAGGTAGAGGCAGAGTCTTGGGACGTCATAGTTAATCGGGAGGCGGCGGCAACACCCTTCTACGTAGACGATGTCTTTAAACTATTTGAGGTGTTGTGGTTCGACTAAACGAGGATGAGGGATCCATCATCGCGAAAATGCCTGAGTGTGGAGGGTGCTTGTGAATTGAGGTGTAACATAAGAAAGGGAGTGTGTACATTAGGTCGTAGATGGTGCATAAGGATCGAAACAAGGGGGAAGTGGCAACAACCGGAAAAGGGGGGCAGGGGTAGAATTGTATGTGTACGAGTCGTGGATAGCGGCAAGAACCAGTGTACGATAAGTAGGGAGGGTTGAAAGACTAAAACGCCAAAGGCATGGAATCTCGGTGGGTGCAGCAATCGGACTAAGAAAGCAGGAAAGGAAACATTGCGAGATGACCCGGTGAATGACGTTCTGGGAGGATAGACCTCGTGGGATCCTGCCACCAAGAATATCAGAAGGCAAGGTCGAAATAAGCGTGCCGGCAAGAAATACGGTAGGCAATCCGGTAATGAACTGGGTGGGGGTAGAGTTGGTGGAAGATACGGTGTACCTAGTAGTGAAGCTCGAATGACGTGCAAGAGGGGAGTTTGGGGGCGTAGACTTGAACCTCCCAGGGCGTGTACATGCGACGGGATCCTTACACCTGTCGGAAGAGGGATGGCGGACCTTTGGGATTGCTTTGGCTTCCAGGGATGACCCCGTACGAATGTTCGAAGGGGCATGGAAAATAACCTGGCGGGAGGGGTTTAAGTTTGCAGACCCGGAACGAGATGACGTAACGGCGGAGGTAAAAGTCGCTGCGGCGGGAGTTTTCAAGCTGCCAAATGAGGTCATACGGATGAGTCTACCACCCTTCCTGCTAAGACAAATGGGAGGCATAGAACGAATGGAGCAGGCGGTGACTGGCGTGACAAGGCTAAATTTTGACGAAGCATTAATATATCGAGAATACTATCGGGCCTTCCTAGAGATGGGGCCTTTCGGGGACGAACAAGGGCGCGAGGTACTTTGCATTCTACGAGCAGCGGTAAATACTAAGCCAGAGTCCCACAAATAAGTGAGGAGACCATGTGGAGAGTCGTCCGGAGGTAGGTCGGGGCGCGACCTACATAGATGATCTCTACCGACTCTACGAACAACCAGAGGAGGCTACTGCTCCCGGGGGTATAGAGGGATAGTTGGGACTAGAAAAGAGAAATGAAAACACGAAGGGCAAGGGAGGCAGTAGGTGAGCAGATTCTGAAGATTGGCTTTAACCCTTTCTACATGGACTATGCAGGGAATCAACAAGGTAACAATGGCAGCAAGACGTGAGCGAGTGGAACGCCAGCCCCGTGTGCGAATGGAAGGCCAGCTTCGGTACCCCGGACCGCCCTGGAAGAACGGTGGACGATGGGAAGTATCCCTACCATCGAGTTCTACCTATCGGGGGTTCGACACAGAATGGCGGGCCGTGACTTTGGGAAGGGACGCCGCCTTCATGTTGGTAGAATGTCGGTGGATAGGGATGAGACTCAACCGAGGACCCGGAGACGATATATTTTCCAATCTGGAAGTTACCCGGACCATGTATCTACCTGAGATCGGCTGACACTCGCTGGGGGTAGAGATAGCACGAGGTCACGAGTTAGCACCGGTCTTTCGAAGGGCCACCCGGACGTTGACCCGGATAGGACAATCGGTCAGGGGAAGAAGGAACGTGGGTTTGCTAACCCGGGTGGAAATGGGAGGTTGGAGGGAGTTCAGGGCACCGACCACACCGCTGAGATGCCGAGTGCCCCGTTTTATGATAGACCTCGTCTTCGGAAGCCTTGCAAGGGCGCGGGAGCTGGCAGACTCAGCGATAGTCTGGGCAGGCCAATTTCTCTCCCCTACCATTGGGATGTTTTACGATGTCGCTGTGGAGCACGGGCCATTCTGGGGAAACAGGGCCCACGAATTACTAGAAGTCATCCACATCCTGATGTTTTGTGCGCCCCGGCTAGACTGGACAGGGTGCGAACGCATAATCCAAAGGGAAATCGAGATAGGGGGAGAATTATCTAACGGAGGTGGCTCAACTATTCGAGGAGCCTACCGAACCAGAAGAGCCTCGAGGGCGAGAGCGGGATTAGCATCCGCAGGCGGGTCAATAGGGCAGATCGAGCATAGTTCGCTGCGTACGAAAGTTCGCTGATAGGAATAGGAAAGGGGCCTCGGATCTGGGTGGTTAAAAACCACTAGAAAAAACAAAGAAGGGGGGGTAGACTCCTAATGATTGACCATAACCCTGAAGGTCAAAAACGGGAAACGCTGCTCAGGAAGACTTCCCCTAGCAGGATGCCTAACTCGGACTTCCTCGCGTCGGCCGACGGGACAAGGGCACTACAAACGAGCTTGTGATAAAGGAAGCCCAGTCACGTTCATAGCTCGGCTAGGCGGCAGGGTCAGTCGTGGCTCCTCCTTAAGGAAGGGCAATCAGGAAACAGGGATAGGAAAGGAGACTACAAAGATAAGCCAACAGAGCTGGGAGCCTAGGGAAGCTCAGGACCTGTCTCTTATACACATCTAGATGTGTATAAGAGACAGCTACAAAGATAAGCCAACAGAGCTGGGAGCCTAGGGAACCTAAATACCTCGCATTGCGTGTGTCCTGGGAATTCTTTGGCTTATGCAGAACTAGGCAAAATGGCAACGGAGGAGGAGACAGATAACCGTAAGAGTGAAGGAGAACCAGGCTTAGAAGGCAGTGCCGCRCAAAGCGAAGGGGGACAGAAGGACARASAATCGATAAATCCGGATGGTACCAAAGGGAACCGGAAGGAAATCTCCACAGGAGAAAGCTCGGGGAAAGCCAGGGGAAGCAGGCAAGGGACCCAGGGGACCAAGGAAGGCAGAAATAAGGATAGGACAAGCCCCCGAAACTCGGAAGGAGCCATGCCTAAGAAAGTAAGGGTCACGGATACGAGGCGCAGACTAACCGAGATAGAAAAGAGGACCGCGGAATACAAGGCAAGATTGACTGAGGAAATTATGACTGGGAACGAAGAAGGTCCTCTGGAGGAGGAACCCCGGGACGAACGGAAAGCCAGCCAAGGTGGGGCTGGACAAGGGGATAAAGGTAGTGACCGTGGGGGAACGCCAAGCAAGAGAAGGAAGGAGAGAGAGAACTCCCCGGGGATGAAAGCGGAAAAGGCTACGACTCCGCCAGCAATGGATAGTAGGGCTAGCCGCCTGCCGATCACGCTGGCAGCAGCACGAGGATGCGAAGGACTTTGGAGCCTTAAGGAAAGAGTGTTGGGATGGTTTGACCCGGAAGGAACTATGAAAACAAGGGAGGGACAGAAGGCCGGCAAGGAAAGTCCGGATAGCAGTATGGCAGGCGAGGCTTGTAGCTCCGAGGGCGGCCTTAAGAAGATAGTGTCGTCCCTCGCGCGAGCACTAAACAAAAATCAAGGCTATCTGGCAGACGCCAAAAGGAAGCTGACTTTCGATGAAGCAAATATCACGGAGTTTCTGATCGACTACGAGAACCTAGCTGTGTTACAAAAGTGGACCGAGGAGGAAAAGATGGGCCATCTAGGACAGCATGTGTCATTAAGCCTAGGACGGGACATAATGGCCATTATAGTCGCAAGCTGGTCTTGGAAGGAGACCCAGGATGTGATGATGAGGAAGTACCTAGCGGCAGAGAAAATGGCAACGGAGGCCGACCTAGCGGCAGTTCAGAGGAAGAACTTCGCAACGTACAACGATTTCCTACGGAAATTTACTCTAGTAGCACTAAGGATCCCCGGGGTCACGGACCTGATAGTGAGCAAATATTTCCTCAGGCAGTTCTCCGAGTTCGACAAAAACAAGATCCTGTCAGCTTACCAACAGACGAGCAAGTTCGTAAACACGCGGGATGTTGATTTTAGCACGGTAACGGATCTGGCTGAGAAAACGGTAGTAACGGAGACGTTGGCCTTGCTCAAGGAAGGAGAGATCATAAATCTGACCGGTAGGACGGGCGACAAGGTAAAGAAGGGGATTGAAAGTCTACATGAACGGGTGCACGGGGTCGAGAATAAGATTGAAAGGATGGAAGGCGCGCTACTGGTTATGCAGGCGCAAGTATCCCGACCTGCCCTCCCTCCCCAGGAAGCTGTGGTTCCGCCAGGTGTAGCAAACTGGGGATTCAGACGGAGAGATCCTGCTAACGAGCAATGCAAGTACTGTATCGCGATAGGACATTATGAGCGTGCGTGCCCAAAACTCAACCATGATATTCTGAAAAGAAGGTGTACAAGGTCTTTAAAGGGGGAGATATTTGGACCACAAGGGGAACGGGTGAACTGGAACTCGCCAAGAGGGATGCAGCGAGCCATTATCATGCTCAACGGGTTAGAAATAACGGCCGTAGAGGCCGAACCGGTGGGCGAGATCATATGGGATCAACTCCGGGGGCGCGGGCCGCAGGTCAACTTCGTTTTGGAAAGCGACGGGCGGGATAGGGTAAACGCGACTACTCGACTAGGGACGGCTGGGAGAAGGATTATCCGTGACGCCGTAATGGAGGAGGTTGCTGGAAGTTCGGAACCCCAGGCAGAGCCYGAGGCCGAGGAAACRGAAAAGGTCTATGGGAAGYCTAGGGAAGAGGAGCCTGYGGACAAGGTTACCGCCGCTAAGAAGAAGTTTCGGTATCAAATCCCGATCTTAACCTTGCCTGAGCTCGACGACACCATTAGCAAGTTACTAGGAACCATGGTGTCGGTGTCTTTTCAGACCATGCTGCAGGCTAGCCCTAGGTTGCTGAAAGGGCTCAGACAACTGTTGACTCGGAGGCGAGTAGAAATACGCGACAACCCCGAATTACCAGAAGGGGAGAAGGAGGAGGAAACTCTGCAAGAAGTGGCTAACCTTCAGAGGAGTCACAGGGACTTGGAGGATCTCGAAAAGGCCTTTGCAGACATTCGTTTGAGCTTGCCTGACCGAGAGGGCGGCGAAGTCATGAGATCACTACCCGGGACGAAGCTTAGCTTCCATGCGCTGCCCGTAGGGAAACTGAAAATCCGGATCGGGAGTCATCACACCGACGCATTAGTAGACGGGGGAGCAGAAATCACTCTCATAAGAAGAGATTTCGCAACGATCACAGGATGTACGGTAAACAAGGAAGTAACAGGGAGCATCCGGGGAGCTGGCGGGGAAACCCCGTTCGCTGGGTACGCCACGAAGTGTGCTGTAAAGGCAGGGGTCAGGGAATCGATCAGGTCGTTTCAGCGGATGACCATAATGGAGGAGATGGACCACGAGATAATCCTCGGGAGACCGTGGTGCGCGAACGTGGAGATGATAGGCATGCACTTGCACGATGGCTCATACATGGTAGACGTAGAGGACCCTGTGACCGGCCGGGGAGAGCTCTTCCGACTCCTTGGAACGGGAGGAGACCCCCCAAAGGGGAAATTGGCAACTTGGTTGCCGTCGTTCGAGGATAGCATGCGAAAGGGGGCTTTCGCACGAATGGAGGGTATGAGAGAAAAGGTAGAAATCATGATTGAGGAAGCATTCAACAAGAAGGAGTGGATCAAGATGGGCCTGCCCCAGAAGAAGAGGAGGCAGGAGGACGAAGTCCTAGGTGTTATGGTAGCGGAAAAGGAGTCAGAGGTCGAACTTGGTGCTAGCCTGCCCAAACGGAAAGAAGTATTCATAGACGTGTTAGAAATCGCACTCGAGATGCCCGATCTATTACAACTCATCAAGGCCCTCAGATACCACAAGGTAGGAGTGGATTCGACACCCTTGGCCAAGTTCGAAAGAGAGGTGCAAAAGGGATATTGCCTGAATGGGAAACTAGTTAGTATTCAACCACGAGTCGTAGAGGCGACGGGAACAATTCCGAGTGTTCATTTTTTAGGAGAAAGATCCCGGACGGAAGTGTTCGAAAGTACAAGCCGGTAGGGAAGAAAGCAAAACCGGTCCCGATCCTGCTAGAGACATGAAAGGAAGACGCTATGGAGAAGGAGGAAGAGRTCCTTCGAGTGATCCGAAAAAGAAGGGCGACGGAGGGACATCGGATACCAGATGAGGTAGCTGACACAATGAAGATAGGGATAGACGGGTTCTTAACGGAAGAAGAACCCCGCCTGATCAAAAGGACATGCCAGGAGTTTCACCTGGCATTTGCCTTTAGTGATCACCAGAAGGGACGACTAGATGCGAAGTTGATCCCTCCGGTCAGAATCCACACGGTAGAACATGAGTGCTGGAATGACAAGGGGTCATCCTATGAATTTGGGATAGCAGGAGAAGTGACAGACCTCCTGCGAGCAAAGATGGACTCCTCCGTTGCGGAGCTTACGACATCGCCATACGCAAATCGGTGGTTCGTCTTTCGGAAGCCTAACAAGACACTAAGGTGGATTCATGACCCGCAGAAGTTGAATGTGGTAACCATCCGGGATGCTAGCTCGCTATCTCAGGCTGACTTGTTAGCGGAATCACACGCCGGTGGAGCATTTACTCCCTGATAGATCTGTACTCAGGGTACGACCAGCTTCCGTTGGATGTTCGGGACAGGCCATACCCCGCTAAGCACACCCCCGTAGGCCAACTACAGATGCAAGTGACCCCTATGGGATTCACAAACGCGGTGGCCGAAGCGCAACGCAGGATGCTCGCCGTGGCCGGGGACATGTTCCCAGAAAAATGTGAGTCTTACATCGATGACAATCCGATCAAAGGCGCGCAGGAGAAGCACGAGATGGAAGTCCAGCCAGGGATCCGACGTTTTGTGTGGGACCACCTGCAGGACATCGAGGACTTACTCCGCCGGTTCCTAGTATACAACATTACAGCTAGTGGACCGAAGAGTATCCTAGCAGTACCAGAGGTAACTATACTAGGATTTCGTTGCGGTGCTTACGGCAGGAAGCCGGATCCGACAAAAACCGACAAGATATCACAGTTGCTGACACCGCTGCGCACGACGACGGAGGTAAGGGCATTCCTAAGCGTAGTCGGCTTTTGAACGATCTTCATTAAAAACTTTGTCAAGATTGTTGAGCCTATCCGGGCTATGATCAGGGAAGAAGGAACCATGGATTGGACGGAGGAGCGAGAAGGAGCTGTCCAAAGGCTCA